GGGGACGGCAGGAAATCGACCACCGCATCCAGGAGCAGCTGCACCCCTTCGTGCCGCTGTGCCGAGCCGCACAGCACGGGAACGAACGCACCGGACAGGGCGCCGTCTCGCAGGCAAGACCGCAGCAGCTCGGGCCCCACCTCGCGGCCCTCCACGAACGCCTCCAGCGCGCCGGCGTCCCTGTCGGCCGTTGCCTCCACCAGCGCCGCGCGCAGCTCCGCGGCGCGCCCCCGCAGCTCGTCCGGCACCCTGTCCGATACGGAGGCCGCGGACGAGGTGCCGTGCCCGACCCACCTCACGGCCCTCATGCCCACGAGGTCCACGACGCCCCCGAACCCCGCGGGGCCCACGATCGGCAGCTGCACCGGCAGCGCCCTGGCGCCCAGCCGGTCCTCGAGCGCCCGCACCGACCGGTCGAAGTCGGCGTGCTCCCGGTCCATCTTGTTCACGAAGCAGAGCCGCGGCACCCGGTGCTTGTCGGCCTGTCGCCACACCGTCTCTGTCTGCGGCTCCACCCCAGCCACTCCTGGGGCCCACGTGCGGACCCTGCCCCTATATAGCCCCCCACGAGTTCTGAGGAGGGGGAGGCTGGGGTTCACTTCCCGCCTCAGAAATCGTGGGGGTAGGGGTCGATTTCGCATGTGGCCCCCCGAACTTTCGGTCGGGCATGTCGTTCTAGAGACAGATTCTGAACAAAAATGAAGATACCAGAAAATGCCTCTCTCTATATATGTATATTTATATATGTATGTATGTATGTATATTTATACATATATATAACATTCAAACCATCGTCCCCTGAATAATTTTTGACAAGTTATGAATATTCCCACAGTAGAAGGACACTTCAGACTTAACCCTGACTCCGTCGAGCACCACCACGGCGCCGTCCAGGACCCGTAAGGATCGCTCCACCTCCATGGTGAAATCGACGTGGCCAGGCGTGTCGACCAAGTTTATCCGGTGCGCGTTCCATAGAAAGGTGGTGGCGGCACTGGTGATGGTGATGCCCCGGTCTCGCTCCTGTTCCATCCAGTCCATGACCGTCGAGCCCTCGCGCACGTTTCCGCAAAAGCTTTCCCGACCCGTGCAGAACAGGATGCGCTCGGTCAGCGTCGTCTTCCCCGCGTCGACATGGGCTACGATGCCGATATTCCGGCAGCGCTCGACAGGAATGCTTTCGGCCCCGCCGGCCTGCATCAACTGCTCTACCGCGGTGGCGTGCCTACCCATGAGGGAAGAGGTCCTGAGGGAAACGGATCCTCGACCCTGAAGCTTTACCCAGAACTATTTCTTCATCCCGGACCATTTTTGGCGGCGACCAGGGAGAGCCCCGGGAGTGGAGGCACCCCAGAAGGGGCCAGAGCAGATGGGGTCAGAGGAGCGCACCGCATCGCCGATGCATCGCCGATGCATCGGCGACAGCGGGATGAATCAGAACGGGCTCCAGGTCGTGTCGTATCGCCGATGCTTCGGCGATGCGGCGGGCCCCTCCGACACCATCTACTTCGACACCACTTGAAGATGTCGAGAGGCCTGGAGGGAGGCCACAGACGGCAAACGAAAACTCAGGACCTCTCCCCTCCTCGGCTACACGCAAGAGTGACCCTGGGTAAGAGTGACCTTTGGTGCGCGGCTTTTGGGGGGGCCGCGGGGGGACCGAACACAAGCGCTCAAGACGCTACTGCCGCATCGCCTTCGGTGGTCGGGGGACCCCATTGGGCCCGCACCAAAAGTCACTCCGGCGAAAGGTCACTCTTACGTCTAGTCGATCTCCATGGCCAGATGCCTCCCGCAGCGCCGCCGCCGGTCAGCCTGCCGCCAGCGCGCCCGCGCGCGAGCAACCCCGCCCGCCACCGCGGCGCACGCGGCCGCCGCCCGCGAGGCGGCACGGGCGGAAAGGCCGCCCGCCGCCGCGCCCGCCGGGGCCGGCGCCGGCGCCGCCCGAAGGGGGGGGGGCCCCCGCCGAGACGCCGACCCGGCAGCCGCAAGGGTCGCCGCGGGGAGGGGCTGCCGCGGAGGCCGCCCCGCGAGCGCAGCAGCGCACGCCTGGCCCATGCCCGCGGGCGCCGCGGCCCGGGGGGGCGCGGGGCCTCTCGGTGGAGCGCCGAGGGCGCCGGTGCTGGGGCTGGGCCGCCTGGGCGGGGCCTTGGGGGGAACTCTGGAGGACGGGCGCGGAGGAGACATGCATGATTCGGGTGAGGATGAGGCGACTGAGGCTTGAAAAGGAGGAGGAGGAGGAGGAGGAGGAGTTAGTAGGAGAAGAGGAGGAGGAGGAGGAGGAGGAGAAGGAGGGGGAGGAGGAGGAGGGAAGAGAAGGAGAGGGAGGAGGAGGAGGAGGAGGAGGAGGAGGAGGAGGAGGAGGGAGGAGGAGGAGGAGGAGGAGGAGGAGGGGAGGAGGAGTAGTAGGAGTAGGCGTAGGAAGTAGGAGGAGGAGGAGGAGGGAGGAGGAGGAGGAGGAGGAGGAGGAGGAGGAGGAGGAGGGAGGCGGAGGAGAGGGAAGGAGCAGGAGGAGGGGGGCTCTGGGACGACGAGGGGACAGGAGGGGGGCGGGGAAAGGGGGGAGGGCGAGGAGTAGGCCTTTCGAGACGGAGGAGGGGAAGGAGGAGCGCGCGGATCCGGATGACTAGCAAGCACAGAAGCATGACAGCGCAGAAGGGAGAGGGAGGAGGAGGTGGAGAAGCAGGCGCAGGACGAGGAGGATGAGGAGGAGCGCGAACGGGCGGAGGTAATGGAGAGGGAGAAGGACGTGGAGGTTGAAGGGGGAGGATTGGGAGACGGACGAGGAGGAGCAGGAGGAGGAAAGTCGTGTTCCTGCTAAGTGGGCTTCTGTTCTGCTAAGTGGGCTCCCGATGTGTTTGATCCTGTTGCCAGCTCCGCCTCCTGCTGCTGGTCCTGTTTTTCTTCTCGTCATCCTGCATCCTCTCCTACCCTCCTTCCTCCTCCTCCCCCTCACCCTTCACACCTTCCTACTCCTGTCCTGCTCCTGCCCCCCCCTCACCAGCATTCCTCCCTTGTCACGTCCCTCCTACACTCCCTCCTCTCCTCCTCCCTTTCCCCTTCCTTCCTCCTCCTTCCTTCCTCCCTCCTCCTCCTCCTCTCCCCACTCTTCTTGTCCCTCCTCCTTCCTCTCCTCCTCCTCCTCCTCCTCCTCCTTCTCCTCCTCCTTCTCCTTCTCCTCCTCCTCCTCCTCCTCCTCCTCCTCTGCCTCGGCGGCCTTCGGCGGCCGTCGTCGTCGGTCGTCGTCGCCGCCGCCGTCGCCGAAAGCGTCCTCCTCCTGCTCAGTGAGCTTCTGGCCTGCTAAATGCGCTTCGTTTGCTTGATCCTGTTGCCAGCCCTCCCTCCTGCTACTGGTGTTGCACAGCGGTTCATGCCAAGTTGCATGGGGAGCTGTGGAAAAAAACAACTACACCTCCTCCTCCTCCGTGCTCCTCCTTTCCCTCTCTATCTCTATCCCGCATCCCACGCAGTGGAAGCCACTGTCTCATCCCATTGCATGGAGTGCCTTTGCGTTGCATTGCATGGCATTTTATTACAACGCATGGCATTGCATTTCTGTTGCGTCACTTCCCATGGCACTGCATTACATTGCGTTGAGAGATCGTCGCAACTCTGGGCTCCGAGTTGCCGGGGGCAAGATGGCCTGGCCCATTTCGCCTGATACATCCTCGCAACTCTGGAATCCAAGATGCCACGCGCGAAGTGGTCCGGTCCATTTCGCCATCTTCGCAATTCTGGGCTCAGATATGCCCCTAACCTGAGTAGGTCCAGCCCGCTTCGCCTTAGACATCCTCACGACTCTAGGCTCAGACATGCCGCGCGCGAGGTGATCTGGACAATTCTACTTCAGACATTCTCGCCTGAGATGTCCTCCCAACTCTGCGAGATGCCGCGCGCGAGGTGGTCTGGTCAATTTAGCCTGAGACATCTTCGCAAATCTGGGCTCCTAGATGCCGCGCGTGAAGAGGTGCGGCCCGGCTCGCCTGAGGATCCTCGCAACTCTGGGCTCATATATGTCCTGGCTTGATGTGGTCCGACCCATTTCGCCTGAGACATCCTCACGACTCTTGGCTCAGATATACCTTTCGCGAGGTGGTCTGGCCCATTTTCGCCAGAGGCATCCTTGCACCTCTGGGATCGGAAATGCTCTGACCTGAGTTGGTCTGATTCGCCCTGGACATCCTCGCAACTCTTGGCCTATATATGCCCTGACCTGAATTGGTCCGGCCCAGGTCGCCCGGGGCATGCCCGCAATTCTGGGATCCGAGTTGCCAGGCGCGAGGTGGTCCAGCCAAACTCGCCTCACACGTCCTCGCAACTCTTGGCTCCGAGAGACCGCGTGCGAAGTGGTCCGGCGGATTTTGCATGCGACGTCTCTGGGCTGCAAGATGTCGCGCGCGGGCTCAGATTTACTCTGACCTAAGCTGGTCCAGCCCGTTCCGCCTGATACATCCTCGCAACTCCAGGTTCAGAGATGCCGCGCGCGAGGTGGTCTGGCCGATTTCGCCTGAGACATCCTCGCAACTCTGGTCTCAGAATTGAACTGTTGATCTGGCCCGTATCGCCCGAGACATCCTCACAACTCTAGGCTCGAAGTTGCGACGCGCGAGGTTGTCCGGTCCGGTTCGCCTGAGACATCCTCGCAACTCTGGGCTCCGAGATGCTCCTGACTTGAGGTGGCCTGGCCAATTTCGTCTGAGACGTCTTCGCAACTCTGGGCTCAGACATGCCGCGCCTGAGGTCGTTTGGCCAATTTCGCTTGATGCGTCCCCGCAACTCCAGGCTCAGAGATGATGCGCTCGAGGCTCTCGGGCCAGATTCGCCTGATCCATCCTCGGAACTCTGGGGTCGGGCCAATTTCGCTTCAGACCTCCTCGCAAGTCTGGGCTCGCTCCGAGATTCAGCGCGCGAGGTAGTCCGGTCAGTTTGCTTGGGACATCCTCACAACTGGGCTCCCAGGGGTGGGGGGGAGGAGTCAGACGGGGCCAGGCACAAGCTACCTGTTACAGTACCCTGCGGATGCCGAATTGTGCCCCAGGAGGGGCCCAGGCGCCCCTGCCCCGAGGGAACAGTTAGCCGGCGCCGAGGCGAGAGCATGATTTCTGAGTCATGTGGAAGGAAGTCTCAGGCGGGGGGGCGCCATGCCTTAGTTAGTACATGTTGACATCTTCAGCGAGAGGAGAACTTGGAGGGTGAAGAGGAGAACCAGGAGTACGAGGGGCGAGAAGAACCAGGGGAAGAGCAGCAGGAGCACGATGACGAGAATGAGGAGAAGACGAGAAGGGGGAATAATAACGACGAGGATAATGAGGAATGGAATGAGTCGGGGGAGGAGAAGGAGTGGGAGGAGAAAGAGCAGGAGGGATGCGTGGGAGGGGGAGAGGGCAAGAAGTATGGCAATGAGGACGATGTCAGCAATGACGACGACAGTGATGGCGACAAGGGCGCAGGCAAATCAGCAATATGTGGAGCCATCCTGCCTCAAAATCGTTGTTGGGGATGCTGGACTGAGGCTATAAATCGGTCTGTTGGTGCTGCTTCTCCGCCTCGTCTTCCTCCTTGTCCTGGTCCTCCTGCTGCTGCCTCCTCCATATCCCCCCCAACAACCCCTCTTGCTCCTCCTTGCAGGCTCTCCTTCCCGTCCTCATGTTCCCTCCCCGCTCCCCCCTTTTCCTCCATATTCCCGCAAGGATTGTGTTGATGTTGGTGCTAAGAAAGGCGCTGCGCCTGACGGTACGGGTATCGATAACGATGCCGGTGCCGGTACCGATGCCGGCATCGGTACTGGCACCGGGCCATGATCGGCATCGGTATCTCAGCAGAAGATACAGCCAACACCAAAAGCTTTTCGCTTCCGATCGCGCTTCCTGCCCCTTGGGTCTTAGGCGTTCGCCACGTCCTACGCGTTCTCAGCAGACGTGGTGCGGCGAACGCCTAAGATCTACAAAGCGGCCTGTGCTGAGATGAGGCCTGCGCTGCAGGGGTCTTCTCAGCAGGGGCACCCGGGTGCCCCTGCTGAGAGGAAGTGGGTCTGACTCTAGGATCGTCGTCTGGATCTGATGAAACAAGCTCCATTTGGGGGGCGTCGTCTCAGCAAGCCCAGCCGACGATCCCGGAGGCAGACCCGCGCCCTCTCTGCAGAGGCACCCGGGTGCCCCTGCTGAGAAGAGCTCTGCAGCGCAGGCCTTCTTTCAGCAGAGGCCACAGTGTGGATCTTGGGCGTTT